TACGGACTCATCCGAAGGCAGAGCTGAGAGCGAGTGACCGGTAGGCAGAGGAGTGGCCTGAGGCGAGGAGTACGTGAAGCGGAAGCGCTGAAGGACCTGCTGCACCATGTGTGACTGAGTCAAGGTGATGGTGTGCCGTGCTCTGTCCCGGGTGATCCGCAAGCCAAGATAGCTTGTCAGTTCACCCAGGTCTGTGCACGTGTGTCTCTTCTGCAGCTCCGACTTCACGTGGGCGAGTGCCGTAGTGTCAGCAGTGGCAAAGACCAAGTCGTCGATGTACACGAGGATGTGGAACGGCGGCAGTGAAGTGTCGGTGCGTAGAAACAGCGACGGGTCAGCAGTAGAAGGAGCGAACCCAAGAGCCGCAAGTGTAGTCCTCAGTGTGTCGTGCCACTCACGCGGCGCCTGGCGGAGACCGTAGACTGGCCGTCGGAGGCTCCACTGGGTACCAGGAGGGAACGACCCAGTGAAGCCAGGTGGGCGGCGCAGCCAGATCTCCTCGTGCAGGCTGCCCTGCAAGAAAGCTGTGCTGAAGTCAAGAGAGTGGAGCTCGTAGTCACGCTGAGCGGCGACGTGCAGCAGAACCCGAAGAGTGGTCATCTTCGGGGTCGGGGAGAAGGTCTGGAAGAAGTCAACTCCCTCACGCTGACTGAAGCCTCGTGCAACGTAACGCGCCTTGAAGACAGGCGGAGAACCCGGCGGCCGCTTCACCCTGAAAATCCACATGCCACTGACGATGTTCGCCCCAGGTGGGGGAACCTCGTCGACGTAGGTGCCTGTGGACTTCCAAGAAGCCATCTCTGCGTCCATGGCTGTCTGCCACTGAGAGGAGTACTCACCCGCGATCGCCTCAGCGTAAGAGCGCGGGGTCGGGATGTCTGGAGCATCCGGGTCTCCCTCAGGGGCAACCAGCATGGACACGAGATGAGGTAACGCAGCGGCAAAGCACTCAAACTCCTCCTGCCTGTCCTCAAGGACGTCCGTGCCAAGAGCACACTCACCCCCGACGGACGAAGGACAGACAGACTCAGACTCAGACTCAGCGACAAGGCTAGCGGCGTAGTCTAGACGACAAGCGGCAGCAAAGTCAACTAACGCAGCGACTAGAGCAGACGCAACAGAGGACTCAAAGGAAGGGTCAATGACAACTGTGGCGAGGAGACGCGTGACAGTAGGACTGGCAGCACGAAGGGAGTCAGACTCCGGGTCAGCAAGAGCAGGAAGAGAAGACGCAGGAGGAGACGGCAGAGGGACACGCTGAGGAGCATTGGAAGGACGAAGTGCCATCTGGTGAGTGCCTGGGACAGCAGGAGGACGCTGACGCGGAACACGACGACCAGTGTGAGCAGCACGAACAGGTGACGCACGACGAGACTCTGGCGACGCAGGACGAGACTCAGGCTCACGACGCTCTGTAAGACCTCCAGTCGGACCAGTGTAAGGAGAAGGACCAGGGAGTGGCGAGGCAGGCGGTAACTGTGACTGCGACTGGACAGGCGGAGGACACTCTAAGGAGGGAGCAGGACTAGGGGGAGGCGGCTGACCAAGAACCTGCTGAAGGAGCGGAACGAAGTACGGCCGCGGCCGCGCAGCGCCTCCAGAACCAGCAGAGGCACCACCAGTACCCTCAGCTCCAGGGTCTCCAGCTACACCAGCAGCACCAGCTCCCGGGTCCGCAGCACCAGCAGCAGCTCCAACTCCAAGGTCCTCAGCTCCAGCAGCAGCTCCAACTCCAGGGTCGGCAGCACCAGCAGCAGCTCCAACTCCAGGGTCCGCAGCACCAGCAGCAGCTCCAACACCCGGGTCCGCAGCACCAGCAGCAGCTCCAACACCCGGGTCCTCAGCACCAGCAGCAGCTCCAACGCCCGGGTCCTCAGCACCAGCAGCACCTCCAGTAGTATGAGTACCTCTAGCAGCTCCAGCAGCACCAGCAGTACCACCAGTACCAGCAGTACCTCCAGCAGCGTCAGTAGCACCAGTACCAGCAGCACCTCCAGGAGCACCAGCAGCACCGCCAGCAGCAGTAGCACCTCCAGCACCAGGGTCCGCGACACTAGGAGCGCCACTCCGGAGACTGCAGCGCCGCGCGTACCACTCTCGGAGCCGCTGGGGAGAGGGCAGCTCCCGCCTAGGAGGGGAAGCACTAGCACCAGCTCCAGCAGCACTCCTAGCTCCAGAGGCACCTCTCCTGAGGCTGCAGTACTGTAAGTACCACTCACGCAGCTGCTGTGAGGAGAGAGCTCCTCCAGGTGTAGTGCTCCCAGGCTCAGCACCTCCAGACTCAGCACCCCCAGACTCAGCACCCCCAGACGCAGCACCCCCAGACTCCGCAACCCCAGGCTCCGCACCCTGCTTGCACGCACAGGTGACGCCCTTGCCGTCACTCGTGGGCATGCACGTGGAACATGCATCATGGCAGGACAACCAAGTGATCTAATCGACGACTTAGAACCCTCCAGGCGAGCACCAGTACAGCAACTCACCAGCGCAACGCAGTTCGTTCGGAGGCATCTCGAAGCCCGGGTCGCACTCGCAGGTGGGATCGCCGTTGTCCTTCCTCGCGCACTTGCCATTGGCCCCGCATTTCACTGCATCACAGTTGTCTGCAAATAATGAGACCCGGGCAAGTGGAAACATTCAAATGCTGATTAAATGAAGGTTCGCAGCTCGGATACGCATGCCAGTCGCTGAAAACGGGATTCAGGGTTTGCGTTACCACGTGGTAACCAATTTGTTTTGAGATGTCTTAAAATCAGGGAACTTGAGTTGAAGGGAGGCGGCTTTTTGGGGGTTTGAAATGCAAGGCACACGCCGAATTTGTGCTGAACTCTTTGGACTCACCAATGCACGAGAGCGTGTCGTTAGACGGTTTAAAGCCCGTGTTGCAAGTGCAGAATGGCTTTCCATTCGCATCCTTTGTGCAGTTGCCTCCAGGCCCACACTTGACCGCATCACACAAGTCTGCAAGGAAAAGAGAGTTGAGGGGAGGCCAAGTTTCAAGGTCTGTCACAGTCCATAGATTGAAATGCATCCTTCGTGCAGTTGCTACCAAGTGTGCAATCTACCGCAGCGCACAGGTCTGCAGGGAAAGGACATGGAGAAAAGGAACGATAACAAAGTATGACAACCAGAGGGCAGATAAGACAAGGGTAAGGTACTGATGCAGCGTAAGAATCATGGGTCGGTTAAAAGGTGCAGGAATGTGCTGTCCCAGGGGCCTCACTCATAGGAAAGAGCTGCAAAATGGAGTCCTTTTTGCAGTAGCTACTGATGCAACGGAAGAATGACGGGTCGGATCAAATACGCAGAGAATTTGTGCGATGAGTAGTGCGGCGTGTAGCAGCGTACCTCGGCAAGTGCCATTGACGGCAGCAAAGCCCTGCTTGCACGCACAGGTGACGCCCTTGCCGTCACTCGTGGGCATGCACGTGGAACATGCATCATGGCAGCACAACCAAGTAAGCTAATCGACGACTTAGAACCCTCCAGGCAAGCACCAGTACAGCAACTCACCAGCGCAACGCAGTTCGTTCGGAGGCATCTTGAAGCCCGGGTCGCACTCGCAGGTGGGATCGCCGTTGTCCTTCCTCGCGCACTTGCCATTGGCCCCGCACTTCACTGCATCACAGTTGTCTGCAAATAATGAGACCCGGGCAGGTGGAAAGATTCAAATGCTGATTATATTAAGGGTCGCAGCTCGGATACGCATGCCAGTCGCTAAAAACGGGACCCAGGATTTGAGTTACCATGTGGTAACCGATTTGTTTTGAGATGTCTTAAAATCAGGGAGCTTGAGTTGAAGGGAGGCGACTTTTTTTGGGTTTGAAATTCAAGGCACACGCCGAATTTGTGCTGAACTCTTTGGACTCACCAATGCACGAGAGCCTGTCGTTAGACGGTTTAAAGCCCGTGTTGCAAGTGCAGAATGGCTTTCCATTCGCATCCTTTGTGCACTTACCTCCAGGCCCACACTTGACCGCATCACACAAGTCTGCAAGGAAAAGAGAGTTGAGGGGAGGCCAAGTTTCAAGGTCTGTCACAGTCCATAGATTGAATGAAATGCATCCTTCGTGCAGTTGCTACCAAGTGTGCAATCTACCGCAGCGCACAGGTCTGCAGGGAAAGGGACACAGAGAAAGGGAACGATAATAAAGTATGACAACCAGAGGGCAGGTAAGACAAGGATAAGGTACTGATGCAGTGTAAGAATCATGGGTCGATTAAAAGGTACAGGAATGTGCTGTCCCAGGGGCCCTCACTCATAGGAAAGAGCTGCAAGATGGAGTCCCTTTCGCAGTAGCTACTGATGTAACGGAAGAATGATGGGTCGGATCAAATACGCAAAGAATTTGTGCGATGAGTAGTGCGGCGTGTAGCAGCGTACCTCGGCAAGTGCCATTGACGGCAGCAAAGCCCTGCTTGCACGCACAGGTGACGCCCTTGCCGTCACTCGTGGGCATGCACGTGGAGTTGCTGGGACACGTGGCATGCTGGCAAGTGATTTCTGGCAGCGTGGGGTAAGAGAGACTCGCGGAGCATAGAGATTTAAGCAATGCGTTCTGGCTGGTAATCTTTTGGCAGCACATGGAGAGAAGAGCCCTCTCATGCAAGGGATGAGATGTGCGCGACACAACAAAGGCAAGGTGGCAAGGTGGCACGGAGGTGAGGAGGGAAGAAGGTGAGGATGAAAGGAGGCAACGAAGCAATGAGGCAAGGACACAAGGCACGCACCACACTTGCAGGAGACAGAAGTCCATCGGGAAATCTTTTTTGAACTGTAAGCAAGGACACATTTAGATGAGGAATGAGGAACACATTCAGTTGAGACGTAAGAAGAGCATTCAAATAAGATATTACGTTAGGTCGGTACAGACAGAGCGTCACGGCTGTGGCATTGGTAAACAACCTAAGACCCACTCACTCCACCGCCCCCCATCACGCACGTGCAATGCACCTAAGACCCACCCACCTCACCAACCGGAAAAATCGGCGCAGATCGGTCATGCTGCATCCACCACCATGCTCCCACCAATGACCCACCTGCCCTGCAAGCTGCATCCATGACCCATGACCCATGACCCATGACCCATGAACCATGACCCATGAACCATGACCCATGAACCATGAACCATGACCCATGAACCATGAACCTTGACCCATGAACCATGACCCATGAACCATGAACCATGACCCATGACCCATGACCATGACCCATGAACCATGAACCATGACCCATGAACCATGAACTATGACCCATGACCCATGAACCATGAACCATGACCCATGAACCATGACCCATGAACCATGAACCATGACCCATGAACCATGAACCATGACCCATGACCCATGAACCATGAACCATGAACCATGACCCATGAACCATGAACCATGACCCATGAACCATGAACCATGACCCGTGACCCATGAACCATGACCCATGAACCATGGACCATGAACCATGACCCATGAACCATGAACCATGAACCATGACCCATGAACCATGAACCATGACCCATGAACCATGAACCATGACCCGTGACCCATGAACCATGACCCATGAACCATGAACCATGAACCATGACCCATGAACCATGAACCATGAACCATGACCCATGACCCATGAACCATGAACCATGACCCATGACCCATGAACCATGAACCATGACCCACCCACCTGGGCACGTGGAAGAATCTGCGCAGGGCGGCATACTGCGGCCTCAGCACCTCGTCTAGCGCCTTGCCCTCGCACGCCGTGTTGGCAAAGAACTGCACCTGCTTGCACGCCGCACCTCCCTTCCCACGCGACCCACCGCCGCTGCGACCCCTGCCACAGCCCGTGAGTCCGTGCCACCACACCTGCACGTCACCCGCCACCTTGCGCGCCGTCCGGGGAAGGCTGAAGCAGCGGAGGGCGTCGAAGCTGACGGGGAGGCTCACGCCCGACACCGAGATCTGCGTTGCCACGTGGACACTTGCGCCCACCGCCCCAACCCCACCCCCCCGCCCATCCCCCATCTCCACCCCCACCTCCACGCCCATGCTCCCATTCCTGCTTCCCGCAGTGATCTCGCTTTTGAGGCTTCTGGCCGTCGCAGCCTCGCTCCCGCCGCGCACTCGCACGCCCACGTTCAGATCACCTTTTGAGGCTTCTGGCACTCGCACGAAAGCGTTGTGGCGATCCGCGCGCTCGCCTGCTGCCATGTGAGCCACGGCGACCACTGGATGGAGAAGAAGCAGAGGGGTGAGAGGAGCAGAGGGAGAAGAGGGGTGAGAGAGAGCAGAGGGAGAAGAGGGGTGAGAGGGAGCAGAGGGAGAAGAGGGGTGAGAGGGAGCAGAGGGAGAAGAGGGGTGAGACTTTGGGAGTAACAGCCTCGCTTGCACCGCGCACTCGCTCGCCGGAAGCTTTAGGAGATCCGCGCGCTACGTAGCGATTGCTGGAAGGGTGAGAGGGAGCAGAGAGGTGAGAGGGAGCAGAGAGGTGAGAGGGAGCAGAGAGGTGAGAGGGAGCAGACTTGGATTTGGTATAGTCTCTGGGTGACGTTGGAAACAGTACGTATCTTGAGAGATTTCTGATTTTCTGGTGCAAGTTTCACTAGTACAGAAGGGTGAGAAGGAGAATGGGGGTGAGAGGGAGATGGGGGGTGAGAGAGAGAAGGGGGGTGAGAGGGAGATGGGGAGTGAAAGGGAGATGGGGGATGAGAGGGAGATGGGGGGTGAGAGGGAGATGGGGGGTGAGAGGGAGATGGGGGGTGAGAGGGAGATGGGGGGTGAGAGGGAGAAGGTGGGTGAGAGGGAGCAGAGGGGTGAGAGCGAGCAGAAGGGTAAGAGGGAGCAGAAGGGTAAGAAGGAGGAGAGGGGTGAGAGGGAGCAGAGGGGTGAGAGAGAGCAGAGGGGTGAGAGGGAGCAGAGGGGTGAGGGGTGTGGGGCAGAGACTGCTCGCTTCTCAGCTGTAGTAACCAGAGCCTTATAAGATCAACGCACGTTTTGTATCCAAAGTACGCGTGCTGCACCAAGGGTACAAAAAGCATCCGCTGCTCCTGTAGAGAATCCTCACTTTGGCCCGGTGGTATAGCGGGGAGTTGTATCAGAACTTGTGAAAAAAAAAAAAAAAAAAACACACACACACACACACACACACACACACACACACACACACACACACACACACACACACACACACACACACACACACACACACACACACACACACACACACACACACACACACACACACACACACACACACACACACACACACACACACATACACACACACACACACACACACACACACACACACACACATACACACACACACACACACACACACACACACACACACACACACACACACACACACACACACACACACACACACACACACACACACACACACACACACACACACACACACACACACACACACACACACACACACACACACACACACACACACACACACACACACACACACACACACACACACATACACACAGAGAATTAAGAATTTATTGGGAGCGGCAGGGAGAGAAACGACTCACCACAGATGGTGAGGACGAGGAGCGGAAGCAGCGCGGTACGAGAGGCGGCCATGGCGGTCAAGCTGCCACGTCAGGTGAGGTGAAGCTGCCACTGGCAGGGTACGTGGCACGTCAGGTGGGGAAATTCTTGCGCAGCGCGCGCCGCCACCACTGCAGTGTATGGCGCACTCAGTGCGAATGCGGGTAGATTGCAGCACGCACTGAGACTCTCACGTCGCACGCGTGAGTCACGCGCAACAGATACTATTCGTTGGTGGTAATGGCGCAATGTCAGGAAACTTTCCTGGCAGGTGGCTCTTTTTTCTGCTGGTGCAAAGGTGTTGCAATGGTGCAGCTCGATGCTACTGCTATCAGTGATAGTGATGGTATAGCTGTGGCGTTGTTATCAAAAAGCACGAGGTGAAGAAACTCCATCGGTTCCAAGAATTTATAGACAAAATTCAGACGCTTCCCCACCAATGTCAGTGGCTGAATGTAGAGTTCGAGGTGCTACTGTACCAGGAACGCGACGTAACTCGGAGTACAGATTTGTGGGTTCTGCGTCTTGAAAAGCGAGTTTCACGCGCACGCAAGCATGGCGAGCGACCGACTAAAACAGTCGCCTTGCAGTGTCGTAACATACGCAGTAATCGACTGGCCAACTCAGCAGTCGCCTGTAATCTCGCACAGGCTGATGAACAACGGAGGGAGCTTGAGCGAAGCAAGGGGGTTGGAGCTCACAACAGCAAAACGAATTACGGGCGCACTTACCCGACACAAACAAGCCCTTTTATCCCAATGGTCTAGTGGTTGGGATTCTGACATGGTATCAGAACGAAGGTCTCGGGTTCGAATCCCAGTGTGTGCACTTCGGGCATCCCAGTGCTTGGGGGTGTCAGAGGTCCACTGGTGATCCCCGATTGATCCTAGGGAAGGGTTACAGGCTCGTTGTCCTGGGAGGTTATGGGCGCACTGATCCGCTACTTAACAAGCCCTTTTATCCCAATGGTCTAGTGGTTGGGATTCTGACATGGTAATGAACTATTCAAATCCTGACCTAAGTTAATGGGCCCACCAATTCGCGGCATGGCGCTCGCTGCGATGGGCGCAGCGGCGAGCCAGCCGCATTTCCCTCGTCGCCAGCCCATCGTTTTTTCCTCGTCGCCTACGCCTGCTGCCGAGTTTGCGCGAGAGTGGGGAAGGGGGGGGGGGGGGGGGGCGGCATCGGGAATGAAGGGGACGGCGTCCGTGGCGGTCGTCGCGGCCCTTCCCCGCCTCGCTCCGCCCGTCGCATTCCCCCGGACCCCTGCGCGTCACACCCCCCGTCGCGACTGTTCGCGTGTGCAGCTACCGTCGCTGTGGGTGGGAGAGGGAGGAGGGGAAGGGATTGGCGGCGGAACGCTGTGAGGGGGAGAGGGAAAGGGGGAAGGGAGTGGCGGCGGAATGCTGTTGGGGAGAGAGGAGAAGGGGGAAGGGAGTGGCGGCAGAACACCAGCGATCACTGCCAGCGCACCGGCGATCGCACCAGCGCTTGCGCGCCTCCTACCGTCAGATCCCGCCCAGCCTGTAGCCCGTCTGCAGCTTGTCCAACCCGTCGCGCCCCATCAGCACCAGGCACCAGCACCAGCGCCAGCCACCAGCACCAGGCACCAGCACCAGCGCCAGCCGCCAGCACCAGCACCAGCTCCAGCGCCGTCACGCCAGCACCAGGCACCAGCACCAGCGCCAGCCGCCAGCACCAGGCACCAGCACCAGCGCCAGCCGCCAGCACCAGGCACCAGCACCCACGCCAGCCGCCAGCACCAGGCACCAGCACCAGCGCAAGCCGCCAGCACCAGGCACCAGCACCAGCGCCAGCCGCCAGCACCAGGCACCAGCACCAGCGCCAGCCGCCAGCACCAGGCACCAGCACCAGCGCCAGCCGCCAGCACCAGGCACCAGCACCAGCGCCAGCCGCCAGCACCAGTCATCAGCACCAGCGCCAGCCGCCAGCACCAGGCACCAGCACCAGCGCCAGCCGCCAGCACCAGGCACCAGCACCAGCGCCAGCCGCCAGCACCAGGCACCAGCACCCGCGCCAGCCGCCAGCAACAGGCACCAGCACCAGCGCCAGCCGCCAGCACTAGGCACCAGCACCAGCGCCAGCCGCCAGCACGAGGCACCAGCACCCGCACCAGCGCCGTCACGCCAACACCAGGCACCAGGACCAGCAGCCCCACCTGTGACCAGCAGCCCCACCTGTGACCAGCAGCCCCACCTGTGACCAGCAACCCCACCTGTGACCAGCAGCCCCACCGGTGACCAGCAGCCCCACCTGTGACCAGCAGCCCCACCTGTGAAGGACTGTACAGGGACCATCGTGGGTGGGGAGGGGTCTGGAGGAAGAAAAGAGGGGGAAGGAGTGCGGTTCCAGGGGGGCGGTTGAAATGGGGGGTGAGGTTAAAGGGGGTTGGTTGATTAGGGGTGGGGATATGGGGGTTAGTAAGAGGGGACGCCGCGGCCACCCCCCCACCTCCTCTCCTCATCCCCCACTCAACCCCCCCTTCGTAAAAGGGGGTTAGTAAGAGGGGATGCTGCGGCCACTCCCCCACCTCCTCCCCTCATCCCTCAATCGCCTCCTCCTTTGTTCTTATCTTCTCTCCTCTCCTCTCTCTCTCTCTCGCCTCCTCCTCCTCACTTTCCTCTCTGCCGTCTTCCACTGCGCCAGCTATAGCCCTTCAGGGGGTGTTGACTACACTAGTTCCTACTGCAAGCAGGCTAAGCGGGTGTGTCAAAGTTATATTTAAGATATATCCCGCTTGCTGTGGTTACTGTAGTTATTGTACTTTGCAGTTGGTGGTGCACCTCTTGTTTCCTAGTTTCTCGACTATATCTTGTTTGCTTTGCCTTTAGTGAAGCTCACTTGTTTGGTCAATTCTCTCGACACTCCCTTTGCCTTGACCTCGACACTTGCTTGGCCTAGGCTACTAAGCCTAGGCCCTCCTTAGACCCGGTTACCAGTTCAGTTGGTCTTGTAACATGGTATCAGAGCGAAGGTCTCGGGTTCGAACCCCAGTGTGTGCACTTCGGGCATCCCAGTGCGGGGGGGTGTCAGACGTCCACTGGTGATCCCCGATTGATCCTAGGGAAGGGTTACAGGCTCGTTGTCCTAGGGGTTTATGGATACACTGACCCACTACTTAACAAGCCCTTTTATCCCTGTAGTTAGTGGCTGGGATTCTAACATGGTATCAGAGCGAAGGTCCCGGGTTCGAATCCCAGTGTGTGCACTTCGGGCATCCCAGTGGGGGGGGGGTGTCAGAGGTCTACTGGTGATCCCCGATTGATCCTAGGGAAGGGTTACAGGCACGTTGGCCTGGGGGGTTATGGGCGCACTTACCCGCTACACAAACAAGCCCTTTTATCCCAGTGGTTAGTGGCCGGGATTCTGACATGCTATCAGAGCGAAGGTCTTGGGTTCGAATCCCAGTGTGTGCACTTCGGGCATCCCAGTGCGGTGGGGTGTCAGAGGTCCACTGGAGATCCCCGATTGATCATAGGGAAGGTTATAGGCACGTTGGCCTAGGGGGTTATGGGCGCACTTACCCGCTACACAAACAAGCCCTTTTATCCCAATGGTCTAGTGGTTGGGATTCGGACATGGTATCAGAGCGAAGGTCTCGTGTTCGAATCCCAGTGTGTGCACTTCGGGCATCCCAGTGCGGGGGGGTGTCAGAGGTCTACTGGTGATCCCCGATTGATCCTAGGGAAGGGTAACAGGCTCGTTGTCCTGGGGGGTTATAAGCGCACTAACCCGCTACTTAACAAGCCCTTTGATCCCAATGGTCTAGTGGTTGGGATTCTGACATGGTATTGAGCTATTCAAATCCTGACCTAAGTTAATGGGCCCACCAATTCGCGGGATGGCGCTCGCTGCGACGGGCGCAGCGGCGAGCCGGCCGCGTTTCCCTCGTCGCCAGCCCATCGTTTTTTCCTCGTCGCCTACGCCTGCTACCGAGTTTGCGCGAGAGTGGGGAAGGGGGGGGGGGCATCGGGAATGAAGGGGACGGCGTCTGTGGCGGTCGTCGCGGCCCTTCCCCCCCCGTCCTGTTTCTTCCCTCCCGTCGCCTCGCTCCGCCCGTCGCATTCCCCCGGCCCCCTGCCCGTCACACCCCCCGTCGCGACTGTTCGCGTGTGCAGCGGCGGTCGCTGTGGGTGGGAGAGGGAGGAGGGGAAGGGATTGGCGACGGAACGCTGTTGGGGGGAGAGGGTAAGGGGGAAGGGAGTGGCGGCGGAATGCTGTTGGGGAGAGAGGAGAAGGGGGAAGGGAGTGGCGGCAGAACACCAGCGATCACCACCAGCGCACCGGCGATCGCACCAGCGCTTGCGCGCCTCCTACCGTCAGATCCCGCCCAGCCTGTAGCCCGTCTGCAGCTCGTCCCACCCGTCGCGCCCCATCAGCACCAGGCACCAGCACCAGCGCCAGCCACCAGCACCAGCTCCAGCGCCGTCACGCCAGCACCAGGCACCAGCACCAGCGCCAGCCGCCACCACCAGGCACCAGCACCAGCGCCAGCCGCCAGAACAAGGCACCAGCACCAGCGCCAGCCACCAGCACCAGGCACCAGCACCAGCGCCAGCCGCCAGCACAAGGCACCAGCACCAGTGCCAGCCGCCAGCACCAGGCACCAGCACCCGCGCCAGCCGCCAGCACCAAGCACCAGCACCAGCGCCAGCCGTAAGCACTAGGCACCAGCACCAGCGCCAGCCGCCAGGACGAGGCACCAGCACCCGCACCAGCGCCGTCACGCCAACACCAGGCACCAGGACCAGCAGCCCCACCTGTGACCAGCAGCCCCACCTGTGACCAGCAGCCCCACCTGTGACCAGCAGCCCCACCTGTGACCAGCAGCCCCACTTGTGACCAGCAGCCCCACCTGTGACCAGCAGCCCCACCTGTGACCAGCAGCCCCACCTGTGACCAGCAGCCCCACCTGTGACCAGCAGCCCCACCTGTGAAGGACTGTACAGGGACCATCGTGGGTGGGGAGGGGTCTGGAGGAAGAAAAGAGGGGGAAGGAGTGCGGTTCCAGGGGGCGGTTGAAATGGGGGGTGAGGTTTAAGGGGGTTGGTTGATTGGGGGTGGGGATGTGGGGGTTAGTAAGAGGGGACGCCGCGGCCGCCCCCCCACCTCCTCTCCTCATCCCCCACTCAACCCCCCCTTCGTAAAAGGGGGTTAGTAAGAGGGGACGCTGCGGCCACTCCCCCACCTCCTCCCCTCATCCCTCAATCACCTCCTCCTTTGTTCTTATCTTATCCTCTCCTCTCTCTCTCTCTCTCGCCTCCTCCTCCTCACTTTCCTCTCTACCGACTTCCACTGCGCCAGCTATAGCCCTTCAGGGGGTGTTGACTACACTAGTTCCTACTGCAAGCAGGCTAAGGGGGTGTTTCCAAGTTTATACTTAAGATATATCCCGCTTGCTGTAGTTACTGTAGTTATTGTACTTTGCAGTTGGTGGTGCACCTCTTGTTTCCTAGTTTCTCGACTATATCTTGTATGCTTTGCTTTTGGTGAAGCTCACTTGTTTGGTTAATTCTCTCGACACTCCCTTTGCCTTGACCTCGACACTTGCTTGGCCTAGGCTACTAAGCCTAGGCCCTCCTTAAACCCGGTTACCAGTTCAGTTGGTCTTGTAACATGGTATCAGAGCGAAGGTCTCAGGTTCGAACCCCAGTGTGTGCACTTCGGGCATCCTAGTGCGGGGGGGTGTCAGACGTCCACTGGTGATCCCCGATTGATCGTATGGAAGGGTTACAGGCTCGTTGTCCTAGGGGTTTATGGGCGCACTGACCCACTACTTAACAAGCCCTTTTATCCCAGTAGTTAGTGGCTGGGATTCTGACATGGTATCAGAGCGAAGGTCTCGGGTTCGAATCCTAGTGTGTGCACTTCGGGCATCCCAGTGCGGGGGGGTGTCAGAGGTCTACTGGTGATCCCCGATTGATCCTAGGGAAGGGTTACAGGCACGTTGGCCTGGGGGGTTATGGGCGCACTTACCCGCAACACAAACAAGCCCTTTTATCCCAGTGGTTAGTGGCTGGGATTCTGACATGCTATCAGAGCGAAGGTCTTGGGTTCGAATCCCAGTGTGTGCACTTCGGGCATCCCAGTGCGGTGGGGTGTCAGAGGTCCACTGGAGATCCCCGATTGATCATAGGGAAGGTTACAGGCACGTTGGCCTAGGGGGTTATGGGCGCACTTACCCGCTACACAAACAAGCCCTTTTATCCCAATGGTCTAGTGGTTGGGATTCTGACATGGTATCAGAGCGAAGGTCTCGGGTTCGAATCCCAGTGTGTGCACTTCGGGCATCCCAGTGCGGGGGGGTGTCAGAGGTCTACTGGTGATCCTCGATTGATCCTAGGGAAGGGTAACAGGCTCGTTGTCCTGGGGGGTTATGGGCGCACTGACCCGCTACTTAACAAGCCCTTTTATCCCAATGGTCTAGTGGTTGGGATTCGGACATGGTATTGAGCTATTCAAATCCTGACCTAAGTTAATGGGCCCACCCATTCGCGGCACGGCGCTCGCTGCGACGGGCGCGGCGGCGAGCCGGCCGCGTTTCCCTCGTCGCCAGCATGTCGTTTTCTCCCTCGTTGCCTGCCCGTCGCCAGCCCGTCACGTTTTCCCCCGTCGCCAGCCCGTCGCGTTTCCCCCGTCGCCAGCCCGTCGCGTTTCCCTCGTCGTCAGCCCGTCGAGTTTCCCCCCCGTCACCACCTCTGCCCGCGCCTACGCCTGATGCCGAGTTTGCGCGAGTGTGGGGAAGAGGGGGGGGGGGGGGGGGGGGGGGGGGGGGGGGGGGCATCGGGAATGAAGGAACGGCGTCCGTGGCGGTCGTCGCGGCCCTTCCCCCCCCGTCCTGTTTTCTTCCCTCCTGTCGCCTCGCTCCGCCCGTCGCATTCCCCCGGCCCCCTGCCCGTCACCCCCCCCCCCCCCGCCCCCCCCCCCTGTCGCGACTGTTCGCGTGTGCAGCGGTGGTCGTCGTGGGTAGGAGAGGGAGGAGGGGAAGGGATTGGCGGCGGAACGCTGTGGGGGGGAGAGGGAAAGGGGGAAGGGAGTGGTGGCAGAATTCTGTGGGGGAGAGAGGAAAAGGGGGCAGGGAGTGGCGGCGGAACACCAGCGATCACCGCCAGCGCACCGGCGATCGCACCAGCGCTTGCGCGCCTCCTACCGTCAGATCCCGCCCAGCCTGTAGCCTGTCTGCAGCTCGTCCCACCCATCGCGCCCCATCAGCACCAGGCACCAGCACCAGCGCCAGCCACCAGCACCAGGCACCAGCACCAGCGCCAGCCGCCAGCACCAGCACCAGCTCCAGCGCCATCACGCCAGCACCAGGTACCAACACCAGCGCCAGCCGCCAGCACCAGGCACCAGCACCAGCGCCAGCCGCCAGCACCAGGCACCAGCACCAGCGCCAGCCGCCATCACCAGGCACCAGCTCCAGCGCCAGTCGCCAGCACCAGGCACCAGCACCCGCGCTAGCCGCCAGCACCAGGCACCAACACCAGCGCCAGCCGCCAGCACCAGGCACCAGCACCAGCGCCAGCCGCCAGCACCAGGCACCAGCACCAGCGCCAGCCGCCATCACCAGGCACCAGCACCAGCGCCAGTCGCCAGCACCAGGCACCAGCACCCGCGCTAGCCGCCAGCACCAGGCACCAGCACCAGCGCCAGCCGCCAGCACCAGGCACCAGCACCAGCGCCAGCCGCCAGCACGAGGCACCAGCACCCGCACCAGCGCCGTCACGCTAGCACCAGGCACCAGGACCAGCAGCCCAACCTGTGACCAGCAGCCCCACCTGTGACCAGCAGCCCCACCTGTGACCAGCAGCCCCACCTGTGACCAGCAGCCCCACCTGTGACCAGCAGCCCCACCTGTGAAGGACTGTACAGGGTCCATCGTGGGTGGGGAGGGGTCTGGAAGAAGAAAAGGGGGGGAGGGAGTGCGGTTCGAGGGGGCGGTTGAAATGGGGGGTGAGGTTAAAGGGGGTTGGTTGATTGGGGGTGGGGATGTGGGGGTTAGTAAGAGGGGACGCCGCGGCCACCCCCCCACCTCCTCTCCTCATCCCCCACTCAACCCCCCCTTCGTAAAAGGGGGTTAGTAAGAGGGGACGCTGCGGCCACTCCCCCACCTCCTCCCCTCATCCCTCAGTCACCTCCTTCTTTGTTCGTATCTCCGCGTGAAAACAAGAATGCCAGGACTGCGAATCACAGAAGCAGCGACCGCATGCACCATGGGAGAAGGTGAATATCTGATGATTGTGACAGCCCCTGGTCGCTAATGGGGGACCCGCACGAATTGAGTGATGGATGTCAAATTTGAGAAATTTCCAGTTATAAGAGGATAAAAGCTTTGACAGGAAAGCTTTGACAGAAACAAGAGGATAAAAGCATAGTGGATTGAGTTGTGCAGTTTGCGTAACGAGTTTGCAACGATTCGCCTCGTGGCGGCCGCGGAAGCGCGAGCAGTAGCCGACACCAAAAGCGAAAATCGACCTGCAGAAATGAGCACCTAATTCGTGCAGTCGTCTGCCCGCGGGCACAAAAACTAAACCCCTCTTACAGATGAAAGCGACTCAAAACCCCTCCTCTCCGCTCTCTCTCACTCGCCTCGTCCTCCTCACTTTCCTCTCTGCCGTCTTCCACTTCGCCAGCTATACCCCTTCAGGGGGTGTTGACTACACTAGTTCCTACTGCAAGCAGGCTAAGGGGGTGTGTCAAAGTTATATTTAAGATATATCACGCTTGCTGTAGCTACTGTAGTTATTGTACTTTGCAGTTGGTGGTGCACCTCTTGTTTCCTAGTTTCTCGACTATATCTTGTATGCTTTGCTTTTAGTGAAGCTCACTTTTTTGGTCAATTCTCTCGACACTCGCTTTGCCTTGACCTCGACACTTGCTTGGCCTAGGCTACTAAGCCTAGGCCCTCCTTAAACCCGGTTACCAGTTCAGTTGGTCTTGTAACATGGTATCAGAGTGAAGGTCTCGGGTTCGAATCCCAGTGTGTGCACTTCGAGCATCCCAGTGCGGGGGGGTGTCAGAGGTCCATTGGAGATCCCCGATTGATCATAGGGAAGGGTTACAGGCACGTTGGCATAGGGGGTTATGGGCGCACTTATCCGCTACACAAACAAGCCCTTTTATCCCAATGGTCTAGTGGTTGGGATTCTGACATGGTATCAGAGCGAAGGTCTCGGGTTCGAACCCGTGCACTTCGGGCATCCCAGTGCGGGGGGGTGTCAGAGGTCTACTGGTGATCCCCGATTGATCCTAGGGAAGGGTAACAGGCTCGTTGTCCTGGGGGGTTATGGGCGCACTGACCCGCTACTTAACACGCCCTTTTATCCCAATGGTCTAGTGGTTGGGATTCGGACATGGTATTGAGCCAGTCAAATCCTGACCTAAGTTAATGGGCCCACCCATTCGCGGCACGGCGCTCGCTGCGACGGGCGCGGCGGCGAGCCGGCCGCGTTTCCCTCGTCGCCAGCCTGTCGTTTTTTCCCTCGTCGTCTGCCCGTCGCCAGCCCGTCACGTTTTCCCCCGTCGCCAGCCCGTCGCGTTTCCCCCGTCGCCAGCCCGTCGCGTTTCCCTCGTCGTCAGCCCGTCGAGTTTCCCCCCCGTCACCACCTCTGCCCGCGCCTACGCCTGATGCCGAGTTTGCGCGAGTGTGGGGAAGGGGGGGGGGGGGGGTGGGGGGGGGGGGGAGGGGGGGGGGGGGGGGGGGGCGGCATCGGGAATGAAGGGGACGGCGTCCGTGGCGGTCGTCGCGGCCCTTCCCCCCCCGTCCTGTTTTCTTCCCTCCCGTCACCTCACTCCGCCCGTCGCATTCCCCCGGCCCCCTTCCCGTCACACCCCCTGTCACGACTGTTCGCGTGTGCAGCGGCGGTCGCTGTGGGTGGGAGAGGGAGGAGGGGAAGGGATTGGCGGCGGAACGCTGTGGGGGGGAGAGGGAAAGAAGGAAGGGAGTGGCGGCGGAATGCTGTTGGGGAGAGAGGAGAAGGGGGAAGGGAGTGGCGGCAGAACACCAGCGATCACCGCCAGCGCACCGGCGATCGCACCAGCGCTTGCGCGCCTCCTACCGTCAGATCCCGCCTAGCCTGTAGCCCGTCTGCAGCTCGTCCCACCCATCGCGCCCCATCAGCACCAGGCACCAGCACCAGCGCCAGCCACCAGCACCAGGCACCAGCACCAGCACCAGCTCCAGCGCCGTCACGCCAGCACCAAGCACCAGCACCAGCGCCAGCCGCCAGCACCAGGCACCAGCGCCAGCCGCCAGCACCAGGCACCAGCACCAGCGCCAGCCGCCAACACCAGGCACCAGCACCAGCGCCAGCCGCGAGCACCAAGCACCAGCACCAGGGCCAGCCGCCAGCACCAGGCACCAGCACCAGCGCCAGCCGCCAGCACCAGGCACCAGCACCAGCGCTAGCCGCCAGCACCAGGCACCAGCACCAGCGCCAGCCGCCAGCACCAGGCACCAGCACCCGCGCAAGCCGCCAGCACCGGGCACCAGCACCAGCGCCAGCCGCCAGCACCAGGCACCAGCACCAGCGCCAGCCGCCAGCACGAGGCGCCAGCACAAGGCACCAGCACCTGCACCAGCGCCGTCACGCCAGCTTCAGGCACTAGGACTAGCAGCCCCACCTGTGACCAGCAGCCCCACCTGTGACCAGCAGCCCCACCTGTGACCAGCAGCCCCACCTGTGACCAGCAGCCCCACCTGTGACCAGCAGCCCCACCTGTGACCGGCAGCCCCACCTGTGACCAGCAGCCCCACCTGTGACCAGCAGCCCCACCTGTGACCGGCAGCCCCACATGTGACCAGCAGCCCCACCTGTGACCAGCAGCCCCACCTATGACCAGCAGCCCCTCCTGTGACCAGCAGCCCCACCTGTGACCAGCAGCCCCACCTGTGACCAGCAGCCCCACGTGTGACCAGCAGCCCCACCTGTGACCAGCAGCCCCACCTGTGACCAGCAGCCCCACCTGTGAAGGACTGTACAGGGACCATCGTGGATGGGGAGGGGTCTGGAGGAAGAAAGGGGGGGAGGGAGTGCGGTTCCAGGGGGCGGTTGAAATGGGGGGTGAGGTTAAAGGGGGTTGGTTGATTGGGGGTGGGGATGTGGGGGTTAGTAAGAGGGGACGCCGCGGCCACCCCCCCACCTCCTCTCCTGATCCCCCACTCAACCCCCCCTTCATAAAAGGGGGTTAGTAAGAGGGGACGCTGCGGCCACCCCCCCACCTCCTCCCCTCATCCCTCAATCACCTCCTCCTTTGTTCTTATCTCCTCTCCTCTCCTCTCTCTCTCTCTCTCTCTCGCCTCCTCCTCCTCACTTTCCTCTCTGCCGTCTTCCACTTCGCCAGCTATACCCCTTCAGGGGGTGTTGAATACACTAGTTTCTACTGCAAGCAGGCTAAGGGGGTGTGTCAAAGTTATATTTAAGATATATCCCGCTTGCTGTAGTTACTGTAGTTATTGTACTTTGCAGTTGGTGGTGCACCTCTTGTTTCCTAGTTTCTCGACTATATCTTGTATGCTTTGCTTTTGGTGAAGCTCACTTGTTTGGTCAATTCTCTCGACTCTCCCTTGGCCTTAACCTCGACACTTGCTTGGCCTAGGCTACTAAGCCTAGGCCCTCCTTAGACCCGGTTACCAGTTCAGTTGGTCTTGTAACATGGTATCAGAGCGAAGGTCTCGAGTTCGAATCCCAGTGTGTGCACTTCGGGCATCCCAGTGCGGGGGGGTGTCAGAGGTCCACTGGTGATCCCCGATTGATCCTAGGGAAGGGTTACAGGCACGTTGGCCTGGGGGTTTATGGGCGCACTTACCCGCTACACAAACAAGCCCATTTATCCCAGTGGTTAGTGGCTGGGATTCTGACATGCTATCAGAGCGAAGGTCTTGGGTTTGATTCCCAGTGTGTGCACTTCGGGCATCATAGTGCGAGGGGGTGTCAGAGGTCCACTGGATATCCCCGATTGATCCTAGGGAAGGGTTACAGGCACGTTGGCCTAGGGGGTTATGGGCGCACTTACCCGCTACACAAACAAGCCCTTTAATCCCAAATTTCTAGTGGTTGGGATTCTCACATGGTATCAGAGCGAAGGTCTCGTGTTCGAATCCCAGTGTGTGCACTTCGAGCATCCCAGTGCGGGGGGGTGTCAGAGGTCCACTGGTGATCCCCGATTGATCCTTGGAAGGGTTACAGGCTCGTTGTCCTGGGGGGTTATGGGCGCACTGACCCGCTACTTAACAAGCCCTTTTATCCCAATGGTCTAGTGGTTGGGATTCTGACATGGTATTGAGCTATTCAAATCCTGACCTAAGTTAATGGTCCCACCCATTCGCGGCACGGCGCTCGCTGCGACGGGCGCGGCGGCGAGCCGGCCGCGTTTTCCTCGTCGCCAGCCCGTCGCGTTTCCCCCCCGTCACCACCTCTGCCCGCGCCTACGCCTGCTGCCGAGTTTGCGCGAGAGTGGGGAAGGGGGGGGGGGGGCATCGGGAATGAAGGGGACGGCGTCCGTGGCGGTCGTCGCGGCCCTTCCCCCCCCGTCCTGTTTTCTTCCCTCCCGTCGCCTCTCTCCGCCCGTCGCATTCCCCCGGCCCCCTGCCCGTCACACCCCCCGTCGCGACTGTTCGCGTGTGCAGCGGCGGTCGCTGTGGGTGGGAGAGGGAGGAGGGGAAGGGATTGGCGGCGGAACGCTGTGGGGGGGAGAGGGAAAGGGGGAAGGGAGTGGCGGCGGAGAGAGGAGAAGGGGGAAGGGAGTGGCGGCAGAACACCAGCGATCACCGCCAGCGCACCGGCGATCGCACCAGCGCTTGCGCGCCTCCTACCGTCAGATCCCGCCCAGCCTGTAGCCCGTCTGCAGCTTGTCCCACCCATCGTGCCCCATCAGCACCAGGCACTAGCACCAGCGCCAGCCACCAGCACCAGGCACCAGCACCAGCGCTAGCCGCCAGCACCAGCACCAGCTCCAGCGCCGTCACGCCAGCACCAGGCACCAGCACAAGCGCCAGCCCCCAGCACCAGGCACCAGCACCAGCGCCAGCCGCCAGCACCAGGCACCAGCACCAGCGCCAGCCGCCAGCACCAGGCACCAGCACCAGCGCAAGCCGCCAGCACCAGGCACCAGCACCAGCGCCAGCCGCCTGCACCAGGCACCAGCACCAGCGCCAGCCGCCAGCACCAGGCACCAGCACCAGCGCCAGCCGCCAGCACCAGGCACCAGCACCAGCGCCAGCCGCCAGCACCAGGCACCAGCACCAGCGCCAGCCGCCAGCACCAGGCACCAGCAACAGCGCCAGCCGCCAGCACCAGGCACCAGCACCAGCGCCAGCCGCCAGCACCAGGCACCAGCACCAGCGCCAGCCGCCAGCACGAGGCACCAGCACCCGCACCAGCGCTGTCACGCCAGCACCAGGCACCAGGACCAGCAGCCCCACCTGTGACCAGCAGCCCCACCTGTGACCAGCAGCCCCACCTGTGACCAGCAGCCCCAACTGTGACCAGCAGCCCCACCTGTGACCAGCAGCCCCATCTGTGACCAGCAGCCCCACCTGTGACCAGCAGCCCCACCTGTGACCAGCAGCCCCACCTGTGAAGGACTGTACAAGGACCATCGTGGGTGGGGAGGGGTATGGAGGAAGAAAAGGGGGGGAGGGAGTGCGGTTCGAGGGGGCGGTTGAAATGGGGGGTGAGGTTAAAGGGGGTTGGTTGATTGGGGGTGGGGATGTGGGGGTTAGTAAGAGGGGACGCCGCGGCCACCCCCCCACCTCCTCTCCTCATTTCCCACTTAACCCCCCCTTCGTAAAAGGGGGTTAGTAAGAGGGGACGCTGCTGCCACTCCCCCACCTCCTCCCCTCATCCCTCAATCACCTCCTCCTTTGTTCTTATCTCCCCGTGAAAACAGGAATGCCAGGATTGCGAATAACAGAAGCAGCGACCGCATCCACCATGGGAGAAGGTGAATATCTGATGATTGTGACAGCCCCTGGTCGCCAATGGGGGACCCGCACGAATTGAGTGATGGATGTCAAATTTGAGAAATTTCCAGTTACAAGAGGATAAAAGCTTTGACAGAAAAGCTTTGACAGAAACAAGGGGATAAAAGCATAGTGGATTGAGTTGTGCAGTTTGCGTAACGAGTCTGCAACGATTCGCCTTGTGGCGGCCGCGGAAGTGCGAGCAGTAGTCGACACCAACACCGAAAATCAACCTGCAGAAATGAGCACCTAATTCGCGCAGTCGTCTGCCCGCGAGCACAAAAACTAAAACCCTCTTACAGATGAAAGCGACTCAAAACCCCTCCTCTCCTCTCTCTCTCTCTCGCCTCCTCCTCTTCACTTTCCTCTCTGCCGTCTTCCACTTCGCCAGCTATACCCCTTCAGGGGGTGTTGACTACACTAGTTCCTACTGCAAGCAGGCTAAGGGGGTGTGTCAAAGTTATATTTAAGGTATATCCCGCTTGCTGTAGTTACTGTAGTTATTGTACTTTGCAGTTGGTGGTGCACCTCTTGTTTCCTAGTTTCTCGACTATATCTTGTATGATTTGCTTTTAGTGAAGCTCACTTGTTTGGTCAATTCTCTCGACACTCCCTTGGCCTTGACCTCGACACTTGCTTGGCCTAGGCTACTAAGCCTAGGCCCTCCTTAAACCCGGTTACCAGTTCAGTTGGTCTTGTAACAGCACCTAGACAAAATAATGCAGCAAACCAGGAAAACGTTCTAAATATCGCCATGCCCACGGCGGAACGGGATTCGCCTTAGCAAACGTTACAAACCCAAATGGTTGCTCTGCCAGAAACTAAGGAGCAGGAATGGTTTGACTAAAATGAATGACAAGTACAAGTACTAACCCAGTATAGTCTACCCACTACACTTTAAACACCCCACAGGTCGACCAACTCCAGGTCGACCGGACCAGCAGCTCGCCGACTGCACCAAGTCGGCTTCCCCAGTCAGCGTCTCCAAGTCGACGCCCTCCTAGGCCGACTTCGCCAAGTCGGCCTTCAAATTCGGAGCCCCTCCCAAGTCAACGACTCCCTTCGTCGACCACCGGGTTGAAGTCGGCCACCCACTCCCGTCGTCGGCGGCTTCACAGTGGCCCCGTGCAGGTCGACCACCTCTATCGACCTGCTCGCCCACGCCGGCGTCGCCCACTGCAGTCAGTCGGCTGCAATTCCCGCACATCTGACCACGAAGTCGGCTCCGCCCAAGCGAGTACGGGGCCAACACCCAACTCCCGTTAACACACCCCTACCGCGTTTATGCTTGGACTCCCAACCCACACGGCAGTACTCCTCTGAGAAAAGCTCGTCGTCGTTGGCATGCACACAACACAGATCATGCCGTCACCGCACCAACCGTTCAGAAGGGCACGTCACCTACTGCTGCATGTCGTCGTCACCGTCGCCGACGTCGGCCAGGCGCACTTGGCCGATTGCGACGGAGAACCGGTTGAAGGCCGGATAGTTCAGCTCTTTCGTCAGGAAGTCGGTCGGCTGCTCGTGGGAAGTTCCGGCCTCGTCGTCGTCGCCGCGAACTGCAAAGGGCCGACCTTGTGCCGTTACTCCCCCTCCTCGCGCTCTTGAGCCTCCTCCTCGTCGAACGTCAGCTCAGCGTAGGCGTCGACGGAGACCGGCGCCTTCTGGATTTGACCGCCCTGCTCCTCGTCAATGAAGTGGCTGTGCAACATGTCGGTGTAGCTCTGCTGGTGTAGCCACAGCTTCATCGCCGGCCTGTCACGCACGATCTCCAGCCCAAGGTACTTCATGACCGGCGAGATCTCGTGCAGCTCGAAGGCGGCCTGTCGGAACTCACCAATCTCCTCTCTGCTCTCTTATGTCTCTCTCTCCTTCTCCTTCTCACTCATCTTATGACCTATACCCCGCTGCTGCCCTCTCAGTTCTAACTCTGTCCCACCCCTCCTTTTCCTGTCAAGTCTTCTTCTTAGTGATATCTCACATATACACCTCCTTCCCCCACTTCCTTCTCCTCCCTTACTAGTTCTTTCCGTGATGAGCTCCCTTACTAGTTCTTTCCAGCTGGCTCCTTGGAGCACGCCTGCACACATACGAAAGCAAACACGCATGCACACGAACACCCATCCTCTGGTGGTAACCCTCTTTCCTTTGCCACTGCCTGGCACTGTAATTCCCTCCCTTACCCACTCTTCTCTTACGTAAGTCCCGCCCAGTTTGGTTCCCATGCACTTCCTCAACCCTTCGCTTCGGCAGTCGTCAACCACCTTCTCATCCTCTCGTTCTCCTCGCTATCCCAACAGTCACCCGTCCCTTCGCCTCCCATCCTCGATACTCGCCCAGCTTGCTATGTACAGTATGTACACTTTGTGCAATCCCCCATACGCTCCCCACTCTCCCTTCACATTCATGCAAATGTGACAGCTGTCGGAACTCACCAACCTCCTCTCTGCTCTCTTATGTCTCTCTCTCCTTCTTCTCCTTCTCACTCATCTTATGACCTATACCCCGCTGCTGCCCTCTCAGTTCTGACTCTCTCCCACCCCTCCTTTTCTTGTCAAGTCTTCTTCTTAGTGATATCTCACAGATACACCTCCTTCCCCCACTTCCTTCTCCTCCCTTACTAGTTCTTTCCGTGATGAGCTCCCTCTTGCCCCCTCCCATGACCTGTTGCTGCCGTCCTCGCCCTGGTCATGGGACCCTTGTAAGCCTGGTCCTTCTTGACCTTGCCTGCCACTGCCACGTTGGTCACGTGCTCCATCACCCTTTTCCCCTTCTCGTCCTCCAACACCAACACCCCTGACTCTCGCACCTCCTTGACTGTCCACCTCTGCTACGACACTCCCAAGTCCAGTCCATCACGCTTCGCCCTCCTTACGTACACCTCCTGTCCTTCCTCCAACTGTGGCTCCTTGATCTGCATCTTCCCCAGCTGCCGCTGGCGGTAGCGGTGAATGTCTCGCAGCTGCGCCACCTTCAGACTCTCCATTGCCGCCGGCAGCATCTTCTTCAGGTACAAGGCTCTCGCGTCTGCTAGTGCCACCCACTTCTCTGCGGTCCTTGCTGTCACACTGTCTGTCAGATGCCGTGGCGCTCCCATTGGCAGTATCGGCTGTTTCCCGAATAGCAAATAGTAAGGGGACACATCCTTCACGGCTGCCTGTTTGCTGAACCGATACACCGCCATCACCCATGCCAGTTTCTTGTCCCAGTCCCCTTTGTGAGCCTCGCCGTACACTCGCAGCCCCTTCTTCACTGTCTGCACCAACCTCTCCGTCAGGCCATCTGCTTGTGGGTGGTACCGAGAGGTGGCGCGATGCTGGATGTCATTGGACGCCAGCAGCTCATCAAACTCCCCCTGAAATTCAGTCCCCTGATCTGTCAACACTTCTCCACATACCCCGAACCTTGTCAGCACCATCTCCTCGAATGCCTCTGCTACCGCTGCCGCTGTCTTGTTCACCAATGGTCGTGCTTCTGCCCACTTGCTCATGTGCTCGATCATGAGCACAATGTACTGCCTCCCTCTCCTAGACACAGGCAGCTCCCCTGCTATGTCTAGTGACCATCGGTATCCGAGCTCCACTATGGCCAGCGGCTGGAGCTCTGCTTGACTCTTCAGTAGTGTCACCTTGTTTCTGCAGCAGAGCTCGCATTTCTCCACCCATTATTTCACCTCCTTCCTCATCCCCGCCCACCACCAGCCTGTCTGCTGTAGCTGTTGTGTGCGCAGGGGGCCGTAGTGCCCCAACTTCTCATGCACTTCCTTGATTATCTCCTCTCGTTCCGCTGGCTCTGGCACCCTCTTCCAGCCATCCTTGGTCCTCAGCTGCACTTGGCCTTGAAACCATCTGTAGTGCTGTCCCCTTGCCCTGGCCCTGGGCCCTGCTCCCCCGTCCTCTGCGGTTTCTCCCTTTATCCATGCTAACGTCTCTGCGTCCTGCCAGACGTCGGCTGCCCCTCGCTTCTGCTCTCCTCCTGCCCCCTGCTCCTTGACCATGGCGGTCAATGCTGCTGCTGGTGGTTCCGGTTCAGTGCCCCGCCCCTGATTCTCCCTTGGTGGGTTCCTTGACAGCCCATCAACGTGCTGCATTGTCTTGCCGGGGCGATGCTTCACTGTGAAATCGTACTCTTGAAGTTTCATTGCCCATCGTGCATTCCGCCCTGTCAGTGTCTGGTTCTGCATGAGCCACAGCAAGGGCTGGTGTTTAGTCACTAGCGTGAAGTGTCTCCCCTGCAGATAGACTCGAAAATGTCCCACTGCCCACACCGCGACCAGCCCTTCTCCTTCATACGAGGAGTAGTTCGCCTCTGCTGGGTTGCATGTCCTGCTGGCAAACGTCACCACCTTCTCCTGCCCGTCTTCCATTTGACTCAGGACTGCCCCCATCCCTACACTACTCCAGTCCGTGTACAGCACGAATGGTGCCTTCCCATCAGGTTGCTTCAGCACTGCCCCCGCCTTTACTGCCTCCATTAACCCCCTCAATGCTACCTCCTGCGCCTCCTCCCACTGCCACTTCTGCTCCTCCCTCAGCAGCTTATTCAGAGGTGCCGCTTTCTTGCTGAAGTCTGCGATGAACTTGCGGTAGTAGTTCAAAAATCCTAGCAGCGCCCTTAGTCCACTCTTGTCCTTCGGT